CTTCCTATTACTTTAGAGTATGGTGACATTATGATATCACATTCATTATCTCTCTGGCCTCGTACAGACTATGACCTATTATCGTCTTCATTTGGTCCACCCAACGGTTTGGACATCTTCTAATACGTTTCCTGTTGACTTTTCCCTCCACAATTAGTTTCTCTAGGCCACTGGTGTTCCTGGATATGTGGCTAAATTATCTTAAATATGATAGATTTATTGATGTTGACAGTCTATATTCGATATTCAGTTGTTCGCGAAATTGAAATGTTTGTACGGTGAGCTGTGTACGGTATTCGCAGCATCCGTCTATAACACCACATTTCAAAAGCATCGATTTTGCGTTGCAAGAGGCATAAATGGCAATGGGTAAAATTAGGGCTCTTAGTAGTTTTAGTTTGTTGCTAATTGAAATAGCTGAATTTTTCCCTTATTTTATTGAGTTTGATCGTGGAATTGTGTGCTATACACAGTCTTATCTTGATTTCTGCATCACATCCTCCTTTGTTTGAGATCAAAGAGCCGAGGTATATGTATTGATCTGCAACTTTGAAACCTGCTATTTCTGTTGTATTCATGGGTTTTCGATCGATAATCATTAATTTTGTTTTTCTTTTATTTAATTTTTAGCCATATACTCTATAAAAATACCTGTATATCTAAAATGTATACTGGGTGCGTCTCAAAAGTGGCTCACCTCTATAACTTTTTTAGTTTTTCAGTTAAAAAAATGACAGTATATGACATAAATTGGGATTGATTGACTTATTCAATTGTTTTCGATCACTTCCTGTTTTACCGGAAATGACTACAACTTTTGATTTTTAAATGGCACCCTCGGTATTATTTTACTTTATTCGATAGAAAATAACACTCTGAATAAAATGACATATCATATGTCAACTTTTGACATTTTTGCATATGGTTTATTTGAAATTTTAACTTGCGGTTCGTAACGAAAATTTGACTCGAAATACCAAGTGTGTGGTATCAAATTATTCGTAAAAAATTGCTTTTTCCAAATATGTTAATGAGCCACCCTCGTTCCATTTGAAAAAATTGAGATATGAATAAAAATACGATTTGAGCATTTTTTCTAACCGGCCAGGACAAGACACTAAAAACATTAGACGATCCAATATATTTTTCCCAGGCTCCTTGATTAAGAATTGGTGTTTTTAACATAGCCATGGCACTCTAGATTGAATTTTAAAATATGGTTTTTTATTAAGCGAGAATGTCAAAAGTTGACATATGATATGTCCTCGGATATGTCATTCTATTCAGAATGTCATTTTCTATCGAATAAAGTAAAAAAATACTGAGGGTGCCGTTTAAAAATAAAAACTTGTAACCATTTCCCGTGAAACAGGAAGTGACCAAAAACAATTGAATGCGTCAATCAATCCTAATTTATGTCATATACTAACATGTCAAATCTCATTTTTTTATCTGTAAAAGTAAAAAAGTTATAGGGGTGAGCCACCATAATATTATACCTTGGTCATTCATTTATTTATTATAGTAGTTAATATAGTCAGTAGTTAGTTTGTGTAATAAGTAGTAAACTTTGTTGTTATGCGAACAGAAAAATAAAACACTAATTCACGATACATTAGAACACATTACATTTAACACTGCAGGCGCATTTCTCTAACAATGTGGGCATCATCAACAGATAATTAAAAAGTTTCAATCTGTATGATTTAATCAAAACATAATTCTTATTTTTCATTTGAATTCATTATATTTTTCAACAGGGGCATTCCATAATATAGAAAACACATCAAGAAACATAATAATGTAGTATATTGTGCTCTTGATTTTTCTAATATTTATAACCTGTAGGGTATTGCGATACAAAGTTAGCTATTTTAATACAGAAGAATGCTAATAACAGTTTTATTTCCTAGATTTCTTGGAAATCGTATGTTATTGACAAATATTATTTATTTTAATAGCATGTTGATAACTTAAAATTATAATTCTCTCAGCCTTGTAAACGGCGGTCTAGATTGAAGAATGTATCGTATTGTTATGAAAGAAAATTATTTAAATCTATTTTTTTTCTGCTTTTGTTGTAACCATTGATATGTACCGCTTTATAGTAGATATCAATGGTTGAGTAATTATTACATAGAGTTGTATAGGAAATATGAAATCAACAATGTGATATTTTGTGTCAAGTTTGTACTCCTTTAATTTTATTTTAGTTACTGTTACTGTTCAATAAAAATATATTTTTATTGATTTTATTATTTTGTTTTATATTGTTATCATTAGTTTTTGGTGTCTGGGAGTTTTTTAACATGAGAAATTTGATTTGGATAGCAATAGAACCCCTACTTGTAAGGAGCGCTATTTACATATTTTTTAACTGGTTTAAATATATAAGCTTCATTCAGAACCTCGCAATTACTGGAATAAATTAGTGGTTTCAATTAGCGTAGAAGTTTGTTCCTCTTATTTCAATGTAAGCATTAAAAACGTCAAAATTAGTAGTAGTCATTTTCAATCAGTAGAAAGAGTTAACAAACTTTTGACTTTTCCACTAATTATACTTCAAAATTTGCGAGTAATGTCATTTTGGCCTTTGATTATCATCCGTCAAGAGAAAATGTGGTTAGAAACCAAAAGTTTATTGTTTTATAAGCTAAATATTAGGCTTTCTCTATGGATACCACTGATTACCGCAAGCTGTTGCTAGGATATCCTATTAATTTTAATTGTGTTTTTTAGACAATGTGAATGATCGTAAACTAAAAAGTATAAAATATAATTTAAACCACTAATTTATTCCACTAATTGCAATTTCTATGTTCTGACTGAAGCTTTATAACAAAATCATTAAAGCATTTACAAAATAGGTAACCCAATTTTTAAAATCTTACTATCTATTATCTAAGATATATGAAAATAAGAACTAATTAATATACCATATTAACGTCTTAAACTTGCATCTTGTATTCCAAAAAACGTAAGGGGAAGCAATAACCTTGTAAGCCATCTCTTGTGTGTTTATTGCAATTATATTTCTGTTATATAATGTTTTTGTGTGTGTCCAGTTTATAATGGCATGGCCTAGAATGCTTCGAAAAATGTTTGCTTTTGGTACATAGAATGTAAAATGTAGAATGTGTGGAGGGGGGGGGGGTTAATGATCGATACCTTAATGATCTGTTGTGTCACCCTTTCTTGAGTTATAATTACTCATCATACATGGGGATCTTCCTGTTTTTTGTAGGGGGGACAGGGTATTTCGCATTCTCCTCTGACAACAACTGTTCATCCTCTGAGGAGTGGACAGCTACATCCTCTAGGAATGGGCAAAATAAAACATATGTTAGGAATTGTGTATTACAATATAATATATGAAATTAGGTACTTAATATTTATAAATTATGGTTATATAAAAAACATAACAACGTTGCTCTTAGACCTTATTAGCTTGATTTGATCGGCTTAGTACTGCGCACAAGTATGTAGCGAGATGAGAATTGCAAATGTAAATAAACGGATTAGTATTAGGTGGCCTCATTTTTCAAGGTATATTTAATAATTCATTTTGTTAAACATATATGTATCTATTACAAAATGATTGGATAAATCCGTTCTATTTTATTTGGTTATCAATAAACCAATTGAAATACAATTATTACTATACATAATTATCTTTGATTTAGGAATTAATTAAATTGTGTTTAATTTCAATTATGGCAAAAAACTGCAACCTATGCTTTGTTTTGTATAGTCTATAAAATGAATAACTTTGAATTTTGACCGTTATTTTTTACCAACATATTGGCGAATATAAAATACCCCTGTCAAAATAGTTACTGATATTCATGAAATTGAGTGCCTGAACGAATCAGATAGGTAACTCTTTCGTGAAATCGAAAAGGAAAATAATAAAACAAGTGACAGTTCTTCCTCTTCTTGCAAAAATCAACACGAAATGTCATAATTGACAAAAGTAAAATGTCATTAGCTTTTGACATTTCTAAATATTAGACCAATGCCGTCTCTAATAGAACAGCCAAGAGCGAGATTTATGACGTCACGCTAGTTAGATACTACGGACTAATAAATATGTTGTAGAATACATGGAAAACATAATTATTCCTCGTATTTTTGGTTTGTATTTTAAAAATGATATAGTTTACTTGAAATATCCATAATATACAGTTAATAAATACAATATAATATATACCTATTTATAGTAATAAATATTTTGGCAAATAAACTATGAACCATACAAATGCAGCAAATGTTTTATAATATACAAATAATGAATAGGTGGTACATATGATAATGGGTAAAATATAAGATATATTTTAAATTTTGGGGTTTGAAAATCGATCTAATTTAACAAAAAACATTCAATATCTATTAATAGTGATGTATTATTATTTGCATTCACAAAATTTAATTATATATCATAATGTTTACTGCAATTAATAAACTAATACAAACTTGTCAAAAGATGACCACATATTTTTTAAAAATTATTATTCTTAACACAAAAACTATCTACATTGACTATGGAGTACGATTTCAGCCATATTGTAAAACATTTGCTGCCTTTGTATGGTTCATAGATTATCTGCCAAAGTATTTATTACTATAAATAGGTATATATATTGTATTTATTAACTGTATATTATGTATATTTCATGTAAACTATATCATTTTTAAAATACAAACCAAAAATACGAGGAATAATTATGTTTTCCATGTATTCTACAACATATTTATTAATCCGTAGTATCTAACTAGCGTGACGTCATAAATCTCGCTCTGAGGCTGTTCTATTAGAGCCGGCATTGCGTCAGCATGACCGCAAGTTGCTAATCTAATAAAATTAACACTAGAAAAGCCCACGGGAACTGCCAAATTCAAAGTTATTCGTTTTATAGGCTATAGCAATATTTCGTTTAAAAAAAAAATAATATTACTCTTTTGAGTTATTGTATTAATCGAGATATTTCTTTTATTTCCAGCTCCATTTCCACAAGGAAAACGACAGCACTGTTCTAACGAAGGCGCAATAGTTCCCTTAAATTTTATGGAGTCAGCAACTTGTTATTCTTGTACATGTAAGGTATGTAGTAAATTACATTATTATTAACCATGAAATGTATAATTTTTTCTAACATTTTTATATAATAATAGTCTCATTATACAGGACGTTACTCAAAAGTGGCTCACCCCTATAACTTTTTATTTTTTTTCTATGCTATCTCAGAATTAGAATTTGGAGTTAGTAACTCGTGTTTTCATTGGAGGATACTGTGATATTTATTTCAAACCAATAATTAACGGGAATATTCGTATATATACTAATATATAAAATCCTTAAGTGACTGACATACTGATTAATCACGATCCTGCTCAAACCACTCAACGTAAGAGGCTCAATTTTGGCATACAGATTGATTCTAGGGTGTAGAGGTTCGATAAGAAGGGATTTTTTGAAATTCCAGTTCCAAGAGGGTGAAACCACCCCTCAAATATTACAATATTTTTTATTTAAAAAACGGTCAAGTGTCCGAAAAAACGCTTAAACACGTATATTTTATTTTGTTTTTTTACATATTTTAAGATTTTTTGAAAATGTATACAGAGTGTTTCGAAAAATCTGGTAATTGATTAATCACGATCCTGCTTAAAGCGCTTGACGTACAAAGCTGATTTTTGGAAAACAGATTGACTTTAGGGTGTAGAGGTTCGATAAGAAGGGATTTTTCGAAACTCGAATTCTAAGGGGGTGAAACTATCCCTGAAATATTAAAATATTTTTTATTTAAAAACCGGTGAGTTTTTCGGAAAAACTCTTAAACACGTATATTCTATTTTGTTGTTTTACATATTTTAAGATTTTTTATAAATTTATACAGGGTGTTTCATAAAATATGACCATTGAGTAATCACGATTCTGCTTAAACTGCTTGACGTTTAAGCTAATTTTTGGCAAACGGATTGACTGTGGGGTGTAGAGATTCGATAAGGAGGGGTTTGTCGAATCTCAAATTCCAAGAGGGTGAAAACGCCCCTCAAATATTACAATATTTGTTATTTAAAAAACGGTTAGTCTTTCGGGAAAACGCTTGGACAAGTATAATTTATTTGGTTTGTTTTACATATTTTGAAATTTTTTAAAAAATCATCCAGGGTGTTCCAAAAAGTTAGGTAATTTCTTAACCACGATTCTGCTTAAACTGCTTGACGTAAAAAGCTTATTTTTGGCAAACGGATTTTTCGAAAGTCAAATTCCAACGAGATGAAACTACCCCTCAAATATTACCAAGTTATATAATAATATCGCCATATTGTTTTTTTTTTCATGCTGACATAAATGTGAGAAAATTTTATCCAGTTTGTATGTTAATGGAAATTCTTGCTTTGCTTTATCATCACCATTACAAATGATTAATTCGACGTGAACAAAGTCGCTGGTACACGCTAGTAATTTAATAAAACTACTGTATGTATCATATCAGTATGTATGTATCATTATACAGGGTGACAATTTGAAAACGAACAGTATTTAATATTACCTCTACCGATGATAGTATGAAAATTTGCCGAAATACGTCAATTTACATATCAAGAGGGACAATTTTTGTCCCTTTGGGGGTCCAGGGCACCTACCCCTAAAATTTTAAATGGCAACCCCTATTTCTTTTACCATTTTTGTGTTCTCAAAAAAATAATGCAGTTTATGTAGAATTATAAGAAACACAAAAATGGTAAAAGAAATAGGGGTTGCTATTTAAAATTTTAGGGGTAGGTGCCCTGGGGGTCAAGGGAAAATTATAATAATTACATAATTATTAATACAATTAAATAATGAATAATAAACAAAACATTTGAACAAAAACAGACCACAGACCACACAAAACAAATTGTTGGATAGTAGTAGTCAGAGACATAGATGTAGTAATATTTTGGTTTAATGGCAACAGCTGCTAGGGCTATCCGGTCGTTTGATAGAATTCGTTTTTTAATCAAAATTAAAAAAAAATATAAAATAATAAAGAATAGTATACGGTTTTATATTACTCTCTATTTTTTTGAAGTTTATAAAAAATATTCATGAAAAATAGATATCCTTCAATTTAATGGCTGTTAGTAAGACGTTTTACATCAACTACTTAAGGACAAAAAACTTGTTGGTTTGGTTGCTCCTTTTTATTTTGAAGATACTGCCCGTTGAACATGATACGAAGAGAATGCAAATACAAAGCGCATAGAAGGGCTCTGGAGCCTGGCGCAGCTATTATCTGTTCATTCCAATGTAGAATGTGGAATGTTTAGGAGGGGAGTTAATCATCGCGACCTTACAGATCTATTGTGTGTTCCTCTTTCTTGAGTTATAACGAGTTATAACTCATCATACAGTCTCAAGGCTTTAACAAAAGCCAGTATCTGAGACGGCTCCGCAGAGGCTAGCTCTCCATCCTCGATATCATATATGGTCGTCGTCTCGGCACACTCAGTGATAAGGTGATCTGGTGTTTTCCCATCTTCCCCAAAGAATCTGCATTCGCCGTTGTTTTTCAGCTTCAGCCTACTGAGGTGTTCGTTGAGGAGACAGTGTCCTGTTAGAAACCCCGTGACAATCCGAAGATTGTTTTTACTTAAATCAAGAAAATCCTTTCATTTTTCTCGGTCGTAAGTTCTGAGGAACTTTTTCGAGTGTCCTAGACCGTTGGAGGATACCCATTCCAAGTTACGGATGGAGTCTTCCAGATTCTTCAGTTCCGCTTTCAGGTGGTTCTCGTTTGGAAAACAGAACGGTTCTGGTCCAGTTAGTGGAGTGCTCGCTCCTTTCCTAACTAGATCATTTGCTTTTTCATTGCCTTTTATCCCTTGGTGAGCAGGCACCCAGAGTAGCCCATTGAACATGATACGAAGAGAATGCAAATACAAAGCGCATAGAAGGGCTCTGGAACCTGGCACAGCTATTATCTGTTCATTCCAAAATAGCGTTAATAATCAATTAATCCGATTCTAAAAATTACAGATTTGGTCGACGGCATATTATGCACCTGAATGAAGTTCGGTTTTCTGTTATTTAAATTAGATTTGCTGGTGACTTAGAAGGATGTACAATAGCTCTAATGGGGTTTAATATTTTGTAGTCTATGACACTGCCATATAAATAAAAAACTTGAAACGCGCTTATGATTATTTGATTAATTTTGTTCCGTATTTAATTTTATCTGTATAAAATCGCGTATATGTAATTTAAATCTTTACAGAACAATGAAACAGCGTTAATCTGCTATACTGAATAAATTTTATGCGATACAATAAAGCCTTTGAATAGTACAACTCGTGCTCGTTATAGAGACTTATAGAGACATTCGATGCGACTAAACGTTTCAATAAAAATTCCTTCGCCGATTATAAAAGAAAATCTATTACCTCCCGATCGTAATAGAATAAACAGCCTGCTACATTGCAAATTAGGTATAATTATTATTATATTGTAGTAATTATAGTTCCGCTAAACCAATTAAATCGATACTGATTTAATTGCGAATATTATTACTTTAATTGTTTTCCTACTTTGTAAATGCATATGTGTATGCATTTATTTGCGATAGCAATCTTTCTGGGAGCAGAATGAATTGTCATTTGATGTTAACTGCGTGTAGATGATGCGAACTACTTATTTCAGAATGGAAATAATATTTACTAGTCTTTGTTAGAAATATCTTTGTTTTAAAAATGTAATTTGTATTTTTTTATTTTTATCTAATATATTTTTTTCGAAAATGTGGAAAATTATATACAGGGTTAATCCTGAAATTTAGAACAAGAAAAACTTTTTACGATGAATGTATTTTCCTCAAAATAACAATACTAAAAAAGTTTTTCCTCTTGTAAAGACAATAAGGGACATACTTCTTCTTCTTCTTCTTCCTTCTTCATACTAGGCGAATCGCCTGTTTGGTTTCGTCGTCTCTACCGGTTAGACTGACAAGTTGTCGCTCCATCGTTTTCGTGGACATCCTAAGCTTCTGCGACCTAGCGGTGATTTGTCGCGTGCAACTCTCACTATCCTTCTGTTGTCCATTCTGCTGATATGGTCGTTCCATTCTTCCTTTCTGCTGAGTACCCACTCATTTACATTTTCCACCTTGCACGCTCTTCTTATGCTTTCATTTCTCTCCCTGTCCAGAAACGTCTTTCCAGCTATTCTGCGTAGTATACTCTCATTTCGGTTGTCTCTAGTAGTTGTTTAGTTTTTGCTGTATCAGGTCGAGTTTCTGCAGTGTATGTCATTATTGGTCGTACCGTTGCCTTGTAAATTCTCGCTTTAGTTTCCACCTCAATGTTTTTATTTCGCCATATTGTATCATTCAGGCATCCTGCTATTCTGGTTGCCTTCGTTATCTGTTCTCGCACCTCCGCCTCTACATCACCATATCCTAAGATTTCTATGCCTAGATACTTCAACTTCATTTCTTGCTGGATAATATTGCCCTCGACTTCCAGTTTGCATCTTAGTGGTACTTTTGATGTCGTCATGCATTTAGTTTTCTGGGTCGATATTATCATATTAAGTGATTTGGCAGTGCAATTAAATCGATGTAATAAGCGCTGTAGATCGTTCTCATTTTCAGCTACCAATACGGCGCGGCGTCGTCGGAATAGTAATTTCCTGGTCGCCCATACTGTATCCCTTCAGTAAATGTACATTTCCTATTATTTCGTCCATAATGATGTTGAAAAGAAGAGGGCTCAGGGAGTCACCTTGTCGGATACCACAGCCTACATTTATTGGTTCGGTCAGGACCCCGTTAATTTTAGCTTGAATTTGGTTCACTTCATATATGTTTTGTATGGTTTTAACGAGGTTGTGTGGGATTTGCCTATTGTAAAGAAGGTGTACAACGTCTCTTAGCTGCACACGGTCGAACGCTTAGGTCGAACGAAGGGACATACTGTATAAAAATAATACCTATTTAAAAATTTGGATTTTATATGAATTAATATATAAACGCATCTTATTCACAGGACAGTAGATTAATCCATAGATTATTTACATTAGATTACAGTAAATCTAAATAGATGACCGAAGATGACAAA